AATCGACCACACGGGAGCTGTATTAACAATCAGTGAATCTTTCTCGCAAAAATAAAATGTATATTTATAGATCGGCTTGGTGAAAATTTGTCGGGGACATGGACCAATCAGATATGAGGAGAGACCGATAGCTACAGTGCGCGCTCTCATGGCAGCAGCGTGGCAGCTTATGCAAGCACATTGCTGTGGGATGACTCATCCTGGGATTGGAGGCATTCCCAATAAGTAGACGCAGCGCAAGTGTACTATCACTAAAAACTTATCCACGCGCAAGTCTCAGTCCCTGCAGCAACATCCTGTAGAGCATATGGTGGACGTCGTTGGAATCGACGGTCGGATTGTCGGTCTCACCAGCCGCAAATGATAAATACCAGCAGGATCACCGTTTATTTTCATATTATATATTTTTGAAGGCAACTGCTTTCTTTGGGAAAAAGGAGTAACCTTGTCAAGTAAATTTTAGACACTGGTTACCCGGGTCGTCATCATACTTGAGCAAAGAATAATTAAAAGTTGAAAAGTGCCAGGAGGTCACTATTCATCCGGTGCGAGCGCTTATTGGTGGCTGCAGTTTGCCTCAGTCTGTATCGGTCGCCTTTCATCTCTAACATTTTGCTTTGAGACTTTTGGACACGGCATCAAACTCCATCTGCCGGTTGATGCATGAGTCATCGGAGAGCATGACCTCCAGAAATTCTCCCCTTTTTTGGGGGTCAACTTCCGACGATGCAAGTTTTATCCCATGCGAAGGTGTGTCTTGTATCTAGTCTATGCATGACCACTTGGGACAGATGTTTACCCCTCTTCACTGCCAGCTGATGCTCATGGATATGTGTAGGTACGGACGTTCCTGGTTGGCCCCAATATAAGGCCTCACAAGCTTCGCACGGGATCTTACCTTATAAAATTACTTCATTTTCCCAAAGATCATATTTGCCTCTAAATTATGTACCTTTTGACGCATGCCGTACAGTATATTATGTATATATACTGCGGAGTTTGATACTGACCGCAGCAACTTAGCCAAAAGGTCAACTTACGAGCCGTCAATATACTCAACGAAGACTGGGTTGCAAACGGCGAACCCCAGAGGGGATGCCGAAGCGAGCGAACTGGAGTTTGCCTTTTTATTATTTTGGAACAGAACTGTTCACGCTCGGTTCCAAACTGAATATTAATATTTGAGCTGGAATCCATCAGGTATTGAAGCGCACAGCCAACACCGCTGTTCGGATGCCTCGTTCATGCAACTTGGTATCGATGTCCGGGTTGAATAAAATTCTGTTTCCGGCCTCTAATGGATCAGCTGCAGTTCAGATTTCAGACATGCTCAACTAGGGTTAACTTTTTTCTGATGACAGCCTAGCTATTTTCACGCATTTGAGATTCGAGCCTCCCACAATTTCTGTATGCAAATCTGGTACGCAATGTGTGGTATGCGTAGGCGGACTGTGTATCTCTGTCAGTCTTCTGTATACAGTCACAGCATATAATAGCTAACCGGCCGGGACAGCGGAGTGAGGTGGAGATTTGGGAATCCACTGCCACTGCAAATCCGCCCAATCACACCTTTGATAAAACTGACGTACTTGAATCTACCATGAACCGCTGCTGCGGGTCACATGATGGACATACTTTTTAGCACGAATTGAGGCAAATGTTCGCATCCCAGGTATGTATAGGGAAGACGAAGGCGCTTTGATCACCATAATCATAATTTCATTCGTCTGAGCTTTCAGGCTCTTGTGTGAGACCATCGCCAGTGATAAACCGTAAACGAAGCCACACAACGGTTATAGGGAGCAGGAACCAAACAAAAATTATAGGGAGGGGGCGAAACTCATTAATCACCAGTGTCGGCCATGCG